CGACATATCAGTTATCGTTCGTAGGTATTCTACAGCAGAACAAGAACTAGGTCATGTTCAATCTATTTAGAATACGTCTAGATTTGACATAATTATATATCTCATGTCTGATATCGTTAGAAAATGAATTAAGTAGCTGAACAAAGATAGAAAGGGACATGAGACAAGGATATGTCTCGCCCCAGGTTTTATTTAACCTCTACAGCGATACATTTCTTTTATTTTTCTAATCAGTTCAGGCAACGCAGTAAAGCTGCTACGATGCACGAGGTTACAGAATGTATGTATATATGAGAAAAAAAATTAGTAAGGTGAGGGAACAATAAAAGAACTGGAATTATGATATTGCATTTAAATTTTTGATGATCAAACAGGAAACCTGAAGAGAGCTCCAGAAAGGAAGAAGGGCGAAACAATTAACATAGAACTTGTAGTTAAGTCTAACCATTTCAACTGTAAAATCTTTGAGACCATGCCACCATTTTAGTATTTCGCTTAAGTTTATAAAATTTGGGTACCAAATAAGAAAGTAATTTTTATTTTGAATAATACAAAAAAGTGGCTCAAGGTCAAAAGAATTGATAGGAGAAGGCTTGTCTTCAATCTGTCTTATCTTAAACTTAGCTAGCGTCAATTACTGACCCAAACATACCACAGTATTCTTTACACCAAAACACCACTTTCTTACTTACTGTTGCGGAGTGATTTCACAGTGGAGTCTTGTATTTGTACTAAGTCGGTCCTAAAATAGGTTCGACGTGCAAAACGTCAGGAACTTGATATAATAGGTAATGACGCAGAGTAAATCTAGTTGTGGTCGCTGATACTTTAGTATCCGACTAACGGTCGTCCGGCATCGACTGACTGAACAACTCACTGAGCGAGCCCTACTACTTATTATAGGTGGGAGAGTCTATTAACTATAGAATAGGTGTGTTGCACTATAACACTTATTCTTAATACAGCCACCATAATACATCAAAGGCTCTATGAAGTCCTAACTAGTTCCCATATGTACAATTTGTCAGGGAGTGGGGAAGAAAATGAGAATCAAAGAGGAAATCTCATCAGACCAATTACCATGAAAGTAATCATGAGAAAAGGCACAAGGAAGATACCTTAAAACAGTAGAAAAGTGACTGTCAGGTCAGGACTGATTACACCGCAGATTCTTCTTTGTATGTTATCAAAAGCCTGTAAATATATAGCAGAAGCACCAGACCAACTGTTTCTGCTATGTATTTAGAGATTCTTGCTTGCTTTGCAAGAGTTAAACATAGGTTTGGTTTGCAAGAAAGTCAAAAGGATCGAAATAATTTTGGTTTGCAGCAGAGACAAAATAGTAAACAGGTTTTTTTCATATTTTATCACACTCATTAACACTTGCGTCTTAGTCGCTTTGCCTTATTAGGTGAACTACAAAGAACCTAAGTCAAAAACGAGAATGAAAATAATAACTATATATATATATATATATATATATATATATATATATATATATATATATATATATATATAATATATATATAAAATGTTAAAATCGAAAATGTTATTGCGTCTTGATCATCAGCTGATCTTTGTCCAGGAGCTTTTAATGTCGTTCTTATGGAATGGTTTTGACTCTTTGGACACTGGTCAACACAGTCTCAAGCGGCAAAAAATGTTAGATTGGCTTTGCTTTCATAGGAACATATATTAATTTAATTTAGAATGTGTCTTGAAGATAGACATTGGTTTGGTGTGTACGTCGGCAATAAAGGATATTCAAAATTTAAATGTTATATCAATCGTTATATCATGTTTACTTAATTCTTGATTTTATTGTTCTCATTTCTTAATAGCGTTTTTTTCATATTTTATCACAGTCATTAAAACTTGCGTCTTAGTGGCTTTATTGCGTTGCTTAGGTGAAATGATTAAAAAGCAAGAAAAATAAATTAATAAATAAACAAAGCTATACCTAGCTTTTTGATTTTCGTACAAACCAAGCGTTTTTAAATATTTTCATTCTCTTTGAACCACACCTAGAACCGACATTATGAATCACAAGCAAATCAAACCAATGACTATTTTTTTTACTCTATTTACATTATTCGAATTATTGTCCTGATCTTTCTTGCCATATTTATCACAACGTTTCGACCGTTGTACTCTCCGGCCTTCTTCAGGTTGTTGGAATGTCAGACTGAACTCTTTATTTCGCTCGCTGGGGTAGACTGTTCTAGTTCCACGTGGCATGTCTAATGGATGTCTGCTAATTCACCTCTCCAAGTTATCTACGGCCTTAACCAGGTATTGAACTCACAACTCTTTGGGTCATGTCACTGGATCAAACCAACGCCTTCATCCACTCTAGCTGGTGTCATTAAGGGCAACTTGAAGAAAGCCGGCGCGTACAACGGCCGAATCGTTGTGATAAATAACGTAAGGACAATAGTCCGAATAATGTAAATAGTGTACATAATACCTCATCTCAGAAATATGGACAGATCTTTTTTACTCTTTTGTAAACTGAACCGCTGTCTACCTTTTCAAATGCCAACCAGACGTACTAATTCTTTTTTTGAGGAACGTAAGTTTCCTTTTCGATTTTGTTAACAAAACCATAGCATTCGACATTAAATTAAATAAAAAAATGTTGATATACTGTAAAACAAAGCTAACCAATCCCGGACGGGAATGGAAGTCACGCTCAGATAACAAATACCCACAACTACAAAGAAGAATCTATAAGATTGTGGAAAATGAATACCCTGATGGATTTCTAGAGAAGAAAGATATACGTATATTGCTTAACCAACATAGCTCGAAAGTTATTTTTTTTTTATTTTTTCATAATCGGTAGAAAATGAAAACTTGATTTTAAACATTAAAGTATATCTTATATTTCTAGCAAGGCAAACTCTTACATAACGCAAACTATTTAACCCCTACCAAAATATGTTGACAACTACAAAGAACTTAAGTCAAGAAACAAAAATGAAAAAAATAATAACTAATATATATATATATATATATATATATATATATATATATATATATATATATATATATAAAAATGTTAAAATCGAAGCATTGCGTCTTGATCATCAATGATCTTTGTCCAGGAGCTTTAATGTCGTTCTTATGGAATGGTTTTGACTCTTTGGACACTGGTCAACACAGTCTCAAGCGGCAAAATGTTAGATTGGCATTTTTCATAAACATATATTAATTTAATTTAGAATGTGTCTAAAGATAGACATTGGTTTGGTGTGACACAATAAAGATATTCAAAATTTAAATGTTATATCAATCGTTATATCTGTTTACAATTCTTGATTTTATTGTTCTCATTTCTTAATAGCGTTTTTTTTTATATTTTATCACAGTCATTAAAACTTGATCTTAGTGGCTTTATTGTTGCTTAGGTGAAATGATTAAGAAAAATAAATTAAAAAATAAACAAAGCTATACCTAGCTTTTTGATTTTCGTACAAACCAAGCGTTTTTAAATATTTTCATTCTCTTTTTGAACCGAAAGAACCGACATTATGAATCACAAGCAAATAAACCAATGACTATTTTTTTTCTATTTACATTCGAAATTGTCCTGTCGGCCATATTTACACAACGTTTCGACCAGTTGTACTCTCCGGCCTTCTTCAGGTTGTTGGAATGTCAGACTGAACTCTTTATTTCGCTCACTGGGGTAGACTGTTCTAGTTCCACGTGGCATGTTTTGGATGTCATGCCTTCACCCCCCCATAGGCCTTAAAATGTATTGAACTCACAACTGGGATGTCATGAAGAACCAACGCCTTCATCCACTCTAGTAGGTTTTCTGAAAATTGAAGAAAGCCAGTGCGTACAAACCGAATCGTTGTGAAAATAAAAGTAAGGACAATAGTCCGAATAATGTAAATTTTACATAATACCTCATCTCAGAAATATGGACAGATCTTTTTTACTCTTTTCCTAAACTGAACCGCTGTCTACCTTTTCAAATGCCAACCAGACGTACTAATTCTTTTTTTGAGGAACGTAAGTTTCCTTTTCGATTTTGTTAACAAAACCATAGCATTCGACATTAAATTAAATAAAAAAATGTTGATATACTGTAAAATTCACTCACCAATCCCGGACGGGAATGGAAGTCACGCTCAGATAACAAATACCCACAACTACAAAGAAGAATCTATAAGATTGTGGAAAATGAATACTCTGATGGATTTCTAGATAAAGATATACGTATATTGCTAACCAACATATTCCAAAGTTATTTTTTTTATTTTTTTCATAATCGGTAAAAAATGAAAACTTGATTTTAAACATTAAAGTATATCTTATATTTCTAGCAAGTTTGCAATAATTGAAACTATTTAACCCTACCAAAATATGTTGACAACTACAAAGAACTTAAGTCAAGAAAAAAATGAAAAAATAATAACTATATATATATATATATATATATATATATATATATATATATATATATATATATATATGAAAAAATGTTAAAATCGAAGCATTGCGTCTTGATCATCACTGTCTTTGTCCAGGAGCTTTTACTGTCGTTCTTATGAAATAGTTTTGATTTTTCTTTCTGGTCAACCACGGTCTCAAGCGGCAAAAATCAAATTCATTTTGCAAGAGTAATCTTCACAAAATAATGGGATAAATGTAATTTGTGGTCGACACATTGACGTTTGGGCCTATTTCGTTTCCGGTTCTCTCTGTTCAGGCGAATTAGCCTTTTCCTTATAAGCTACCATCTAACTATGATTTGATGTGACAGAATGTCTATAACAATTAGGCGATCACGGTTTAATAAAACCAGATTAGCTCAGCTATATAGTTTGTATTATCGACATCTAAATATCTATCTATCTAATAACAAGAATCTATCAGGAAAAAATCCGTACATGATCTATCCTTTTTTTTCATATAAATTCTAATTGTATTTTGCATGTCATGCCTACACCCCCCCCCATAGATTAAAATGCAGAGAAAATGAGATTATGAAGAATGTGTTAGCAAACGTTCATCCAAAATCTATCTATCCATCTCAAACTATCTATGAAAATAAAAGTATCTATTGGTTGAGTTGTTTTTTACGGCTTATCAACCTTATGGGAGCTATAGATTGCATCTATCTCTCTTCCCTCAGTACATCTATTGAAAAATGTTGATATTTATTTAATTTAGTTTACATAGAGAAAGTACCAAAACGAGAAAATAGAGATACGAAGATTGTGTTCCGCCAAACTTCTATATAGGGCGGAACTACAGAGCTGCCTTAAACAGCATTCATATGTTTCATTTATCCATCTATGGTTGATAGGAATCTATCATGTCCGTGTCTAACACCAATATTCCAAAGATCTATCTATGACATATGTCAAAAAAAATCTATCCATTAATTCTTCTTATATCTATTGCAAGAATTGAATAAATCTAGGAATAAGTTATCTATCTTTCAATGGTCTATCTATCTATTTTTCTTTCTTTCTTACCTAGTTGTTCTTTTGGTCCAATCCATCCATCTATCTATCTATCTATCTATCTTGATTTATCCACTGTCTTGTTTTTCATTTTTCTCCTTTTTCTTTCTTTCCCACTTTCATTTATCTATCTATGTGTCTAACTATCTATCTATTTCTGTTTTTTTTTATCTAACTTTTCTTCTTCTTCATCTATCTATCTATCTATCTATCTATCTTCTGTCTTTCATTTATCTCAAAATTTCTTCTTCTTCATCTATCTATCTATCTATCTATCTATCTATCTATCTATCTATCACTTTCTGTTTTTCATTTATCTTTTTCTTCTCTATTCATCTATCTATCTATCTATCTATCTATATTTTGTTTTCATTTATCTCTTTTTCTTCTTCTTCTCTTCTATCTATCTATCTATCTATCTATCTATCTATCTTTCTGTTTTTCTATTTATCTCTTTTCTTCTTCTATCATCTATCTATCTATCTATCTATCTATCTATCCATCTATCACTTTCTGTTTTTCATTTATCTTTTTCTTCTTCTTCATCTATCTATCCTATCTATCTATCTATCACTTTCTGTTTTTCATTTATCTCTTTTTCTTCTTCTTCATCTATCTATCTATCTATCTATCTATCTATCTATCTATCTATCTATCACTTTCTGTTTTCATTTATCTCTTTTTCTTCTTCTTCATCTATCTATCTATCTATCTCATCTATCACTTTCTGTTTTCATTTATCTCTTTTCTTCTTCTTCATCTATCTATCTATCTATCTATCTATCTATCACTTTCTGTTTTTTCATTTATCTCTTTTCTTCTTCTTCATCTATCTATCTATCTATCTATCTATCCACTTTCTTTTTTTTCATTTATCTCTTTTTCTTCTTCTTCATCATCTATCTATCCATCTATCTATCTATCTATCTATCTATCACTTTCTGTTTTCATTTATCTCTTTTCTTCTTCATCTATCTATCTATCTATCTATCTATCTATCTTTCTTTCTTTCTATTTATTTCTTTTCTTTTATCTTCTTCATCTATCTATCTATCTATCTATTTATCTATCTATCATCTTATCTATCTATCTATCACTTTCTGTTTTCATTTATCTCTCTTCTTCTTCTTCATCTATCTATCATCTATCATCTATCTATCTTTCACTTTTTTTTATCTATCTTTTTCTTCTTCTTCATCCATCTATCTATCTATCTATCTATCTACTTTCTGTTTTTTCATTTATCTCTTTTTCTTCTTCTTCATCTATCTATCTATCTATCTATCTATCTATCTATCACTTTCTGTTTTTCATTTATCTCTTTTTTTTCTTCTTCTATCTATCTATCTATCTATCTATCTATCATTTCTGTTTTATCTATCTATCTATTTTTTTTCTTCTATCATCTTTCTTTCTATCTATCTCTTTTTATCTATCTATCTTTCTATTTTTCATTTATCTCTTTTTTTTCTTCTATCATCTATCTTTCTATTCATCTATCTATCTTTCTATTCTATCTTCTATCTATCTCTTTTCTATTTTTCATTTATCTATCTTTTATTTCTATCTATCTATCTATCTATCTATCTATCTATCTATCACTTTCTGTTTTTCATTTATCTCTTTCTTTCTTCATCTATCTATCTATCTATCTATCTATCTATCTATCACTTTCTGTTTTTCATTTATCTCTTTTTCTTCTTCTTCATCTATCTATCTATCGATCTATCTATCTATCTATCTATCTATCACTTTCTGTTTTTCATTTATCTCTTTTTCTTCTTCTTCATCTATCTATCTATCTATCTATCTATCTATCACTTTCTGTTTTTCATTTATCTCTTTTTCTTCTTCATCTATCTATCTATCTATCTATCTATTACTTTCTGTTTTTCATTTATCTCTTTTTCTTCTTCTTCATCTATCTATCTATCTATCTATCTATCTATCTATCACTTTCTGTTTTTCATTTATCTCTTTTTCTTCTTCTTCATCTATCTATCTATCTATCTATCTATCTATCACTTTCTGTTTTTCATTTATCTCTTTTTCTTCTTCTTCATCTATCTATCTATCTATCTATCTATCTATCTATCTATCTATCTATCTATCACTTTCTGTTTTTCATTTATCTCTTTTTCTTCTTCTTCATCTATCTATCTATCTATCTATCACTTTCTGTTTTTCATTTATCTCTTTTTCTTCTTCTTCATCTTTCTATCTATCTATCTATCTATCACTTTCTGTTTTTCATTTATCTCTTTTTCTTCTTCTTCATCTATCTATCTATCTATCTATCTATCACTTTCTGTTTTTCATTTATCTCTTTTTCTTCTTCTTCATCTATCTATCTATCTATCTATCTATCTATCTATCTATCACTTTCTGTTTTTCATTTATCTCTTTTTCTTCTTCTTCATCTATCTATCTATCTATCTATCTATCTATCTACCACTTTCTGTTTTTCATTTATCTCTTTTTCTTCTTCTTCATCTATCTATCTATCTATCTATCTATCTATCTATCTATCTATCTATCACTTTCTGTTTTTCATTTATCTCTTTTTCGTCTTCTTCATCTATCTATCTATCTATCTATCTATCTATCTATCTATCTATCTATCTATCTATCTGGCTAGCTTGCTAGCTATCGTCCATTATTCCCATCTTACTTCCAATTCTTTTCCTTTTTATCCCGTTTTCATTCTTTCTTTTTCCTCCTTTCGTTCTTTTACTTTATTTTTTTTCATTCATTCTTTCTGACATTCGTCGTTTCTTCTATTTCTCTCTCATTATTTCTGTCATGCATTCATTCTTCCTTTCTTTTTTTACTTATTCCTTAGTTTCCTTCTTTCTTTCTATTCTTTCTTTCATTCTTTCTTTCTTTCTTTATTGGTATGTTTGCGCGTTTCTTGCTTTCATTCTTTCTTTGTTTACTTGTTTGCTTCTTCTTCCATTCATTCAGTCATTATCATGCTTTTTATTTCATTTACTAATGAAAAGAAGCCACACGATCAGGGACCCATTACTCTTGAATTGTAGTAACCGGAGATGGACGAAAATGCTGACGTAAGAACCTACCTTAAGAATCCTGGTACCATTTGGTTGTTAGTATTTGGATAAAGGAAGAATACATTACGTTAATATTATAAATATGAAAACGATACTGACATACGCTAAATAGTCTGCGTTAAGCTTATTACAACACGGCTGTTAGGAATTGGATAAAGGAATAATGTTGCGCAAATCTTCGACCTTGAAATGAACTTGCAAAAATATATGTATATGTCTACCTATTTTTTAAACCGTTAATTTCCACTAAAAAAAACAAGTCTTGAGGCACACTTTTTCTATTGACATGAAGTGGAGAGGCTATATCGTTTCAATTTATATGACTACTACTAGAAGAGTTAGATCACTGTATCCTGTCAGAAAATTTTTCTAGCTTGCACATTAATATATATACCATTCGTCCGTGCAATGAATATTGTGCTATTCATATTGAGATTCTTGACAAAATTCAAGTCTACTGGCCTGCGTACGAGACAAAAGACAAGAAAATATTCTCTCTGGCAGTATTCGAACCTGCGCACAGGTTGTTTCTTCTTCAAAAGGTGGGGGGCACAAATTTAGAGCGAATCCACTTTCTTTATTTAGTTGTCTCGAGTACGTTGGCCGATGAACAAATACTGTTTAAAATAATTTTAATATTTAATTAATATTTATTTATTAATATATATATATATGAGATCAGTTAGATCAGGGCTACAGGAATGTAGGACGCCCATGGCTAAGATATAAAGACAAGCTGAAAAAGCAACTTGTCAGCAGTCAATATACCACATAACACCCTTGAGCGCTTAGCCTTGGAGCGGGTAGAATGGAGATCAACGTGTTTTAGTGGACTCAGCAATTTTCAATCTGCTTGTCTGAATCATGTTCATGAAGCGAGAGCAAGATCTAAAAGGTCAGCTAAACTAACAATGATCTCATCTCACAATCCTCACACTTGATCCATATGTGGCCTCCTTTGTAAATCACTAGCGGGTCTTAAATGCCACTTAAGATTATCGCACAAACTTTCATAACTGAATCAATAAGCTGTCAGATCCTCATACGTCGAAACCGACGGGAGAGTCTATTATTATTATTATTATTATTATTATTATTATTATTATTATTATATATGTTTTGAACAATAAAAAATATTAAAAAATTAAACACACTGGGTTGCATATTAATATTATTTCATTTTTATTATTTCATTTAGATTGCTCGACTAGTTTCGGCCAACATGGCCATCATCAGGAGAAAAAAAATCTGCTTGTTAATAGCAGTGAACTACAGAAATGAATGACTTGATGGAGAAAATGAACATTTGTAGTTTTCATTTGTTTTTTTTTGTTTTTTTTTTATTTTTTTAACATGAATTTTGGTCAGTCCTTGTGTTGGTCAAACAGTCTCTTTTAAGTTGTTATTTAAGATAAGAGCAGGATGGATTCATGCTTCTCTGAATTCCCTTGGTCATTTTGAAAGTTTTATTGGTTCCTGGAAGGGGGATGTGTCTCTGTTAAGTGTGTGTGTGTTATTTGGTTCATTAGAGAGTGAGTGAGTATGATGTATGTAAGTGTTTATATTCTTGCGGGCGTGAGTATAAGTGTGAGGCCTCAACACTTCCGCAAGCATGTCTGTCTTGGGTGGGTGAGAAATGTAGGTAGTTCCTGGTTTGTGGGGTTATATATTCATACTATCTATATTGTTAAATTTGTGATTAATTTGCCATTACACACACACACACACACACACACACACACACACACACACACACACACATATATATATATATATATATATATGAAAAAAATTTCTCCGATTTAATCGGTAGAGAAGACAATATTTATGAATAAAAATGACAATAGGAAAACTGGTAATTGCTGACGCGTTTCGTCCAATGTGGACTTTATCAAAGCAAAATAAGAAAATGAAATTAGATGAACAAAGTAACTAATAAAAACAAAAAACAGAATGTAAATTAACTGGAATGTAGAAAAAAAAAATGAAAATAGCGTTTCTCTACATTCCAGTTGTTAGGTACATTCTGTTTATATATATATATATATATATATATATATATATATATATATATATATTATAAATTAATTGATTCAAAATGGTTTTCCGCTTCAAGGATGAAATGGAACTAATATCTTTAATTTAATTGCAAATTAAATTCGTGGCTTTTTAGCTTCCATTTTTGAAACATGGCTAGAACTGTGTAGCGGAAAAAACATATTTTAAATCAATTAATTTATAATATTAATGCTCTAATAAAATTTACATCGAGCACTATTTTGTAAAAATAAAAGTACCTATAAGAACACCGGATTATATATCTTACTACTTTCTTTTCTTTATATATATATATATATATATATATATATATATATATATATATATATATATATATCTTACTGCATATGTACAAAATGGAAAAAAAATTGTATCGAGTCATTACATGTGATGAGAAATGGATACTCTTTGACAACAGTAAGAGAGTATGCTAGTGGTTAGAGGCAAGCGAAACACCAAAACAATATCTCAAACCTCCACTGCACCCTAAAAAGTTAATGGCTACCGTATGGTGGTCTTTCAAATGGGTTACACATTATTCATTTTTGCCTGAAAGGAAAACAATAACAGTAACCTCGTATTGTGGAGAAATTGAGTGTATGCACGGAAAATGGAAAAAGAAACATACATTATGAAATGGACAAAGTCCGACAATTATTTTAAGACATTTTGATGTTTAACATTCTTTTTATAGATACAAATATTTAAGTAAATGCTCTGTTTATAATAAACAATATTAAACAACATTTACCGACCTGAATGTCCGAGAAATTTTCATAGATAATATTCCTCCTCCGACAGGATTTGAACCTGTATCCTATACGGAACCGTCATATAGCCTGACGTGCCTTTTTGTGTGACGTCATTTGTTTACATTTGATACGCCATGAGCAGATATGAATGTACGTGAGAGATTCATGGACGATTGAAGTTTATAAGCAGTAAATTCGACATTGCTAACCGAACTATCCTCTTTGGCCGAATCGGTAAAAAGGCGTGTCAGGCTATATAACAGTTCAGTATAGGATGCAGGTTCGAGTTCTGTTGGCGGACGAATATTTTCTATGAAAATTTCTCGGACATTCAGGCCGGTAAATATTGTTTATTATACACAGAGCATTTACTTGAATATTTGTATCTATAAAAATAATGTTAATCTTAAAAATGTCTTAAAAAGAAACATCTTAAACTTATGGATATATGATTTTTCCGCTCGACAATACACGTTCTCATGCATCTTAATCAACTCCCCAAAAGCTGCGTAGATTGAATTATGAAATTTTGCTTCCATCTTTGCATGATACCTTTCTTACTGATTATCACTTATTTAAGGATTTTGAGCTTTTCATATGCAATAAACATTCTCCAATACGGAACTGTTTTCACATCAGAGCATCAGAATTTACAGTTGGGATCAAGAATTTAGTCGTGCCTCAACATGGTGTAAATTTCATCTAAATATATTAGGTATTTAACATTACAGAAACATTTTATTCATTTCATACAAAATGCGTCATCATCTGTGTGACAACCTAATACTTTCTTCGTCCAGAATATATAACCATACATATGCATACATTAACGCCTATTCGTTTTTTCTTATTTATATATTTATAAAACGTATTTCTGATAAACGCATTCTACAGGCTAAATACAGCTAGAAATAAAAATGGAAAAATTAAAGAATTCTAAAATTTAATAACGTTCACAGTTGTCAATATAACGATCTTTCCTGTTTATTTAGTTCTGTAGCGTATATGATCGTGTATCAATTACAATTTACACATGCACCTACTGAAGCCTTTTCACGATTATATATATATATATATATATATATATATATATATATATATATATATATATATAGAGAGAGAGAGAGTGTGAGAGAGAGAAAAAGAGAGAGAGGGGGGATTGCGAAAATGCGCCAAATGGCATTATGACATTAAAATCTTCCTCCTTCAGCAAGGCCCTCTTTTCATCCACACTCTGCAAATAAATTGATATCTAGAGTAAATATGTTCCTCTACCTGAATAAAGAAACATTTTGCGCGTCGAGTTATCTATGTAAATATGGATCCCGATAAGAGCTTATATTTTCATATCTCTGTGGGTAACCATTTTCGGTGTAAAACAGATTTCTTCAAGTGCAACACACACACACACACACACACATATATATATATATATATATATATATATATTATAAATTGATTTATTTAAAATATGTTTTTTTTTTTCGCTACACAGTTCTAAACATGTTTCAAAAATGGAAGCTAAAAGCTACGTTTTTAATTTTGTAATTAAATTAAAGACATTAGTTCCATTTCATCCATTTTCAGCTAAAATCATAATTCACGTTTCCAAGGTTACAGATAAATCTACTTCAACTGGACAAGGGGTGGCTGGGTGTTCATTATGTCTTTATTATTGTATCCGTTATTGGTAGGGGGGGTAGGGATGTATTTTTCAATGAAATCTGACATCCGTTGAATGTATGTCGTCTGGAGTATTCTTTTA